GCTCCCGCGTGCCACCTGCGTGTGGGGCCCACTCAGTGCTCTCCGCTCTCATCCTGTTCTCCTTCTAACAAAAATCGTTCCTTGTACTTTAAATTCTCTTTTGAAATAACAGGTTATTAAGCCAGAGCAACATTCCAAGACCTGCTTTGGCGCCACACCTGCGACACCTGCTGGTCAAATATCGTCATTACAGTCTGAAATCACCCTGCAAACCTGCCATTCATCCATACCTGTGTTTAATTAAGACCCTAGGACACCTAGGACGATGTCCCCGAGGAGCTTACCCGAGGCAAATTATTAAATTTTACACTTTAAATTGAGAATTAATTAATTAATTAATTAATTATTAATTTTTATGCTTTGTAAGATCCTTCCACTCCAGTCACGGATAATTACACCATTTGGAGTGTGGCTCTCTCCTCTAAATCCAAGCATGGTGTTAAAAACACTTCAGAGTTCCTGTCTCATATCAAAAGAACCACCTGCTGTGGGTCAGAAGAAAACCAAAAATCTAGGGGCTATTGTTGTCAAAACCCTGTTATCTCCCCAAAATTCTATTTCTCCCCATACTTTTCATCTCTTGGTACCTTTCTTTGGATAAATATCTACCTAAAATTTAAACTTCCCGTTTGTATATTAATAAGGTTTCAGTTTTACATGGTGAACAATAAACTCTCCTAGCAGCAATCTCTGAAGTCTCCAGAAGGAAGATGGGGCCCACAACAATAATTCTACCCGTTTATCACGATGCCATCCAGCGGATAAACACCACTCACAGATCAGCTTGGACTCCAAACTGCTCAAGACAATTCCACATTGTCTTACAACATTCTAGCCAGAACTTCAGATTAGAACTTCATTAATAAGCCTTACCCACTACTCAGAGATTGGCTACAATGTTACAGCTAGTCCTCTTGAGACTTAACCATTGCTATAGTTTTTACAGGATCCGGTAGAAATACTGTCACCCTCCAGACAACAGGAAGCAATTCTAAGAAAATGATGCTTCCTCCCAACAGCTTTTTTGTTTGTTTGTTTGTTTGTTTGTTTGTTTTTCGAGACAGGGTTTCTCTGTGTAGCTTTGGAGCCTATCCTGGCACTCGCTCTGGAGACCAGGCTGGCCTCGAACTCACAGAGATCCGCCTGCCTCTGCCTCCTGAGTGCTGAGACTAAAGGCGTGCCTCACCAATGCCCGGCCACAGATTTTGTTTTCTTAGGGTTATGTATAATTGTCATCTGATAGGGGTTGCTTATAAGTTGTAATAGGGTTGGGGGTGGAACAATTAAGTTTAAGACTCAAGAATCTCTTTTGAAAAAAAAAGGGAACTAGATAAGATAGGATATTAAGGTATCTTCTTTGTAAATTATTATAGCAACTATTAGTTTTAGACAATTTATATTGATATAGATTCTTGTATGTTGATACATATGTAAAATTATTTTATATTCCTAATATATTTTGTATATTGATACAAATTAAGGATATTTTTGTCATATTGCACTATACATTTCTACCTCTGATCAAGATATATACATGCTACAATTTTGACATCATTGTCCTCATGCTACACATCTGCTTAAAGACTGTTTATGTTTATACTGTGAAACCTTATTCTTTAAACTATATAGTTATTAAAATTACAGATTATAGTCACCCATGTTTGTCATAACTAGTTGTGTTAGTTAGATTCAATAATTTAGAGTCCTGTTGACATGAAACACGACTGCTCGTGGCAGCACCAATCCATTCCTGAGAGGATGTTTGGCACCAAAGACGCTCTATATGGAGCTTGTTTTCTTCTTGGCAAAATTGGCCTATTGGGCAAAGAACTGCCCTGGCCTTGCCTGCTGACAGTAAGCACACTGTCCAATCTGGACAAGCAGGATACAAGGAAAAGTGACTGCTGAAATTTGCCAAGACAAGATAGGACAGTCTTCCGAATTTTCCTGCTTCCGAAAATTGTCTGTCAGATATTCTAGGCCTATAGCCAAAGCTGGTTGCCCCAACATTGCAGAGAGACTTTGGGTGACTGTCCATGTAGTCAGCTGTTTCTGTCATTTCTTTCATCTTTTGGGAGTCACTTGCTTGTACTTCCTGCTTACTCAGGTAATATTACTTTCCTTCTCAGATATTTGATGGGATTGAAGACTAGACAGTCACAGTTAGATCCTCTCATAGCTTAGCTAAGACGTCTTAAGTACAAGACTTAGACCCTTCAGGATGGGACAGCTATCTGAATAATCTCTGTTATTTGCCAATTACCTATGGCCTGGATATTTAGTATGTGTTTCTTGCTTGACATAGTTCTTGTAGGTTGTGTTTCTGTTACTACCCTTTCTTTCTCCTGGACGACACTTTATAATTGTTCTTATTGTATACAGTTTTGTATTATGTTTAGAACCTTCTTACTTAGACAAAAGAGAGGGAGTGTAGTGGACATCCACTCTGCCATGACCTTGGGCTGTCAGGCCTGATTGAGGCAGTGCTTCTTGTCTGTGTGTGACCTCTGATAAGGAGAGGGGCTGGGGATTGTGCTCTTGGGTGGTGAGGACCAGGTCAGGAGTGAAGCAGTGTGTGATCCATTCCTAGCTTTCCAAGGACTCTGCAACTGGATTTACCATTTACAGTATTCCCGAGTACATTTCCCCCTTTTCAGATCTTCATAAATCCTTGATACCCCTTAAAAACAGACACACATGCATTTCTGACTGCAGAACCTGGATGCTCTGCGACAGCAACAAGTGCTCTTTACCTCAGAGCAATCTCCCCAGCCTCTGTTGGAGCTTTTAAATAAGGAAACCACAAGCCTGGCTCAGAGCAAGATGGCTGACAAGATGGCTGACAAGATGGATGGCCACAGAAACTGGATGCAAAGGAAGAGACAGAGTTAGTGCAGAGCTCAAGTGAGACATGCTGGGCACTGATGGGGTGAGGCCTGAGGAGACAGAGAAGGGCTGGGCAGGAGGTGACAGAAGCAAGCAGAGATCCTAATGCAGTGGGGTCCTCCTGTTTGAGGGCGCTGTCTACACATCTCAGGGACATATCTGCAGAGCCCTGCAGGGCATCCACATTCCACACTGAATACTGTGATGGTTGAATGAGAATGGCCACACAGGATCAGAGGTTCAGACGGATTCAGCTCCAGTTAATGGAACTGTTTGGGGAGGATCAGGAGGTGTGGCCTTGTTGGAGGAGGTGTGTCCCTGGAGCTGGGAATTGAGCTTTTAAAAGATTCACACTATTCCCAGGTCTCTGACTTGCTTGTGGATAGAGAAGTGAGATCTAAGCTGTGTCTGTCACCACTCCTTTCCTCTGCCATCATGGACTCAAACCCTCTAAAAGTTAAGACCAAGTTAAACGTTTCTTTTTATAAGTTTCTGGGGTCACAGTGTCTTATCACAGCCATAGAAAAGTGACTAAAGTCAGGTGTGGTGACAAAAACCTTTGATCCCAGCACTTGGAGGCAGAGGCAGGTGGATCTCTGTGAGTTCAAGGCCAGCCTGGTATTAACAGTGAGTTTCAGGACAGCCAAAGCTGTGGAGACAGTTCTTGTCTCAGAAACACAGGAGAGACCCACAGGTCAGAACATTCCATGTTCTCCTCACTCTTTCTCTTCCTTCTTCTCTTCAGAACTCAACCCTGGATCTTCTAGAAGAAAAGTCACTCTGGGAACACAATGGCAACAACACTAGGGTTGGGATACAGGAGAGAGACGCTTTTCTTTTCTTTTTTTCTTTTTTTTTTT